CGCCTCTCCTCCATCCCGTCGCCACTAGGAGAGGTGGTGGAGGAGGAGCCGGAAACGGCCACCGTGGAGGCCGTGTCCACGGGGAGGAAGAGGAGCAGCGTCTGGCGGGGGAGACAACCACCGTGGACAAGTGGGGCCTATCTTTACTGAGATAAATTATTGGTGGTCTGTTGAAGCATCTTTACTGATAATAAAGAATAGTATAGATGGCAACTAATATTATTATATTGAGGATGAATTATTGGTGAGCTGCTGCACTTAGGAAAGCGCCTCGCCGACCGCCGCTTCCCTCCCCACCAACAGTCCAACACCAAGCCCGGCCACCCTTGCAACTGCGGCATGCCTTCCTCCTCCGCCTCCCATTCCTTGTCCTCCGTCCAAACCATTGATCCCAAACCCGCTAGCGCCCAGGACACCACCGCCGACTCTAGCGACCGCGACGATGACGGCGGCGGTGGTGGAAACGCGCGCTCATGGCCCGCGACGGAGCGCGTCGCCTCGTACCTCCGGAGCCAGAAGTCGGTCCACGCCCTCTGCGAGAAGTTCGGCGTCAACACGAAGGCGTTCACGCCGATCCCCGCCGGCGACCGACGCGCGTGCTCGCCTCCACCCGCAGGCTCCATCTGCTTGTACGCGGACGCGCTGGAGGCCGGGATGCGCGTCCCGCTCGACCCCTTCTTCTGCGAGGTGCTCTCGCACTTCGGCGTGGCCCCGAGCCAGCTGTCGCCCAACTGCTGGCGCATCTTGGCGGCCTTCCTCGCGCTCTCCCGCGCCGCCGGCGTGCAGCTGCCGTCGGTCCCCGTGTTCCTGCACTTCTTCGCGCTGCGCGTGCTGAAGGTTAAGGGCCTGTACTGCTTCTCGCCAAAGGACGCGGCCGGCGTGGTCTTCACGGGGCTGCCGGATAAAATCAAGAGATGGAATGAGCGCTTTTTCTTCCTCAAGTCGTCGGCGCAGTGGCCGTGCCCCGTGCTCTGGGGCGAGCCGACCAAGAAATCCACTGCTGATCCGGTGCTCACCAATGAGGAGAAGAGCGCGGTGGCGAAGCTGCTGAGTGTGCGTGGCGCCGCGCCAATTGATGTCCTGATTTACCTCAGCGAGGGCGATTTGGCCGCGGCAAGGATGACCCCTCGTGCGCCAAAACCACCTACACCATCGCCTTCCGATCGTGCTACTGGCGCCAAAGGTAAAATGTCGTACACCATCCTTGAGCTTTGAGCTTGACTCCCGGTGGAGCAAATGATTCACTGCTGTGTCACTGTGAGCTAGGGATGGATCCATCAACCTATGCCATGATGCAGAACATGCGGGCAGAGAAGGCGGCTGCCGAGGCGGCGGCAGCGGCGAAGGTCGCCGTGAAGAGTGAGCCCGGCTGCAGTGCCCCGCCGGACTGGACGCCGTTCTCCGGGAAGAAGAGGCCGGCGGAGGACGACAGAAAGGAGGCCACTAGTCACGGGTCGGCGTCTGTCCCGCCCGGCTTGTGCACGCGCCAAAGACGGAAGCTGCAGCACGCCCCGGACAGACATGACGGCGACACGGTCGGGTGGGAGGCGGCGCGGCAGCTTCTGCAGGGCGTCATCACGCCGGCGCGGGAGCGCGCGTTCTTGGTGGCGGATCCTTTCACCGTCATCGCGACAAGCTACGTCGCGACGCTCCAGGTTCGATCCTGATCCCTGGCGGCGCATCGCGGCGTGCGTGCACGTAGTAATGTCACTCGTGACGTCGGCGCGCAATGCAGGCGGCGGACTACGCGACGTTCTCGTTGGGGCACGCGCTGAAGCTCCAGGAGGAGCTGGAGAAAGCCAAGGCGGCGGCGGTGGAGGAGGCACTCAAGGGGTATGAGCGGGGTATGGAGGACATGAAGCGCGTCGCGCTGCGGCTCCGCCCTGACATCGACGCGGCTCAGCTGTTCGTGCCTCCTGGCGGGTTTCAGTAGCTGAGCCGTTTGCACGAACTATTTTGCAGCGGAACTTCTGTAAATTTCTGCAGTAGCTAGCAGGCTCCCTGCCAGGATTAGCTCGTCTTTTGGATCCGCCTTGACATGGTGATGATCTGTTTTCAACCAAATGCCCGTTCAGTAGGTTGAATTCCAAACGGTGTGGATCCAGCTTTTGTTGTCGAAATTGTTCTGTTCGATGAGCACCGACTGCTGCATCGTTAAAATACCTGGTCTATGTTTCTCATATGTTAAACTTCTCAAACTTTTTAGAGTTTTAATAGAAAATTTATACTTTTATGCTGAATTTAGTAGAACTAAGTTGATGTTGCGCAAAGTTACATAAATGTGAACAAAAACAGCCTGCACTTCATAACAAATGAAGTAGATCGTTGTCTTCTCTTTTATTTCTAGGGGATTCCTTCAATTTGTTGCTATCTAAATTCTGAACTCCAAGAGGAAGCAGATCGTTGTCTTCTCTTCTATTTCTTGCCCTTCAGTGAATTGAGGTTAAGCTGCAGAATGCAGGGGGTAATAATGTCTTTTCAATCTCTTCAGTCTCTTATAAGTTGATTATAGTCAACGGTTGGATATAAGGGTAGAAATCACATAAATGTGAACAAAAACAGCCTGCACTTCAGAACAAATGAAGTAGATCGTTGTCTTCTCTTTTATTTCTAGGGGATTCCTTCAATTTGTTGCTATCTGAATTCTGAACTCCAAGAGGAAGCAGATCGTTGTCTTCTCTTCTATTTCTTGCCCTTCAGTGAATTGAGGTTAAGCTGCAGAATGTAGGGGGTAATAATGTCTTTTCAATCTCTTCAGTCTCTTATAAGTTGATTATAGTCAACGGTTGGATATAAGGGTAGAAATCCCCCCCCCCCAAATGTTATGTATAGGGTATTCGATTTTGTGATGGCAAATCAGAGATATGAAGATTTTTGCAATGGCATGAGGACAATTTCCTGTTCTGTGATGAAGAAATTTCAGGAACAAACAACGATACCAACACATGAAACATTGTATGCAACATCTTTTCTTTTAGGAAAAAGTCCGTTTTTGGCCCTCCAACTATGGCAGCAGTTTGGTTTTAGCCCTCCAACTCCAAAACCAGACAACCGCAGTCTATCAACTCTGTAAACCAGATAGAAATGGCCATCGCGCCAGCGCAACGGCGGTTTCCGCCCGATCAACCCGCGACGACCGCGGTATTGGGCCTTCTTCCTTTTCTCGCGGCCCACTTACTCGCACTCTCTCCTCTCACTCTCTTCCGTTCGTTCCCCAACCCCGACCCCGAACCCTAACTCCTGACGGCGGCGATGGCGGAGGGTGCTAGTGCGGGTGCGGATCGACAGCTCCAGTCGCCGACTTGCTCACTCTCTTCCGGTCCTTCCCCAACCCCGAACCATAACTCCCGACGGCGACGACAGCATGGCGAGCTCGAGCAGCGCGAGTAGCTGGAGGGGAGGAGGAAGGTCCGACCGTGGTGGCTTTCGGTCGTCCCCCTTGCTGTGTCGCCGAGGCCCTCTTGATTATTGGTCGCCCGTGATTTGCGATTGCGGAGCGAAGGCGGCAAAGTGGACGTCGTGGACCAATGATAATCCGAGCCGCAGGTTCTACAATTGCTTTGGATCTTAGGTGAGTTCGATCGATGACTTGTTTAGGGTTTGGTTCTTGTCCTTGGTTCTTTGTTGGATTTGATGATTGAAGTTGTCTTGGTTTTGGTTGTAATCACGGTTGCAGAGCAATATGCGGCCATGCCAATTTTATCGCTGGATTGATCCACCAACCCCGGAGCACCTTGTACCCGTTCTTATTGAGCTCCGTGACCAAGTGCGAGCAATGAGGACGACTAACAGACAGGGAAATGGCCACATGGATCTAGCATTAGTTGATGCAGAAGCATCAAGGCAGCAAGAAAGAGCCATGGTGGAAGCAGGGTTTGCAGGCACAGATGTTGTGGCACCAACGGTGCAAACAGCTAGAACAGATGCAGATGATGTTCAGTTGAAATGCAGGATGGTAGAGAAGGAACTAGGTTTGTTGAAGTTTGTATTGGCGGCCTGTGTGATTGTAGTGCTTGCTGTACTTTTTAGGAAGTAGATGTTTGTTGCTTTTTTAGCTGTGAATGGTAGTAGTTGGATGCTTGTTAGTTTGTGGTGTACAAGTATGGAAGATGTATTGAATTGAAGATGTATTTTGCTATCTTTGACTCGATTATGAATTCGAAGATAAGGCTTTCAGGTATCTAGTGACATGAAGTCTTATTGCTTTTCTTGCTTCTACCAAATTTGATTTCATATCCTATTGCTCTTTCATGTGAACTGAGGAACTCAAATTGGCTGTCATCCAGGATGACTTGCTCTCTGATGGAGAAATACCCTTTTCTTCTATTTTGCCTTTACTTGGGTTCTGTGATTCTGTGATCCATAGGCAATAACAGCTTCTTTACCTATAGGCTATAGTCAGGAGGCCAGCACCCACTATCCCATGACCTAGGGAAGAAATTGATGTCTACATATTTTCATTGTTCAATGAGAATAGGAAACCTGGCATTGAGTCGGAGAGGAACTGGGGACTGTTCTTTCCTAATAGGAAACCTGGTGTATTGCTTCAACTAATGCATCGGAAACAGATCTGTAGAATGCCCTCAACTGGGCATGTGGTCCAGGCATCGTAGATTGCTCTGCCATTCAACCAAGCCAACGTTGCTACCAGCCGGACACTTTAGCTTCCAATGCTTCGTATGCATTCAATAGCTACTACCAGCAAAATGGAGCCAACGTTGTGGCCTGTCAGGACAGGAACCATAAGTTGTCAGGACTCAGGACTTAATAACCATGTATTTGCACAGCTTCGACAACTTAAAAGTGTAGCATTACATTACAAGACATTAAAGTCTGGCATTATAATTTGCACACCAGCACAGCTTCGAGCACTTATAGTCTCGCATTACATTACAAGTTCAACCAAGAAGTGATAGAAACGACTGAACATTACATTACAAATGCCTTAAAAGTCTGGCATTACACTACAAGGTAACATCACAATATGGCAATACATGATCTTAGGGATCAGCATGGTCTTTGAGAAGCAACAGTTGGCTTGGATGTGTGTGCTTCTTCACTACTTGCTTCTTCCTTGGAGGTTCCTCAACAGTGACTGTAACACATGCTTTTCCACCATTAAAACTCAAGTTGACAGAAGAACTTGCCTGTGACAATGGAACATTGGCTTATAAATGCATGGTAGCTTGCCTAGGTGTTTGCACTCTAGCTGTTGCAGTGCACTTGATATTTTTCTACATGTGAGTTAAAATATAAGCAATTGGAGGCAAAATATAAGCAAGGTGAGGCAAAATATAAGCAGTAGCACATACAGTTACTTGGCTTCGCTGAGATGCTCTTCTTTTCCCTCTTCCTCTACTGCTTTCATTAGAGGTAGCAGTGGGTACAAAGCCGCCATGTGTAGAAGCAACAGCTGATACATTACTTGGTTGTGGAGCAGCATGACCTGTGCCTCTTGGAGTTTCACTGCTAGATGGAACCCCATGCCACTTGTCACAAGTGGACCTATTGTGGCCTATTCCCTTACATTTCCTGCATCTGATGATTGTCCCTACCTTAGGAAGTCTCTTTACCTTTGGTTGTTCTTGTGGCTCCCTCTTCCTTTCTTTCTTAGGTCTGCCTGGCATTCTCACATATGCAGGTGCCTTCAAGGGTGGGAGATGAGACTCTGGCCAACTCTGCATACCCTCCAATGGGTTTAGGCAGTGAGAGTAAGTCTTGTTGAACTCATTAATATGATAACAAGATGCAATGTAATCATCTAGCACATTTGTGTTGTAAAAGATGCATGAAATAGCATGGCAGCATGGCAACCCAGACAACTGCCAATACCTACAAGAGCACTCTCTAGCCTGTAGGTCAACTGTGAACCTGTTGTCCCACTGATTGACTTCAAATCTATCAGCTCCATTGCTAATAGCATGGCATACCCCTGAAAGGGTCATACTTGTATTTAGCTTTTTAAGGATGTTGGGACACACTGTTCATGTCCATGTTTGTGACTTAGACCTATTCTGTTAGATTCTCACCATCACCTTCCTTCTAATTGTCTCCAGCATAGTTACAATAGGAAAGAACCTAGCTTCCACAATCCATTTGTAAAATGTTTCACACATGTTGTTGTCAACAGAATCACAATTTGATCCTATCTTAAACCAGGCCCTGCTCCAATGAGCTGGATCAGTGTTCATCAAGGCTTGTGCACCATCTGGTGTATACCTTGCTAGTCTGGCCCTTGCAAGATTGAAAATGATGGACAGGGTGCCTTTGCACAATGCCAGAATTTCTTTTGCCACTCCTTGTTCTTGAATTTCCTTCTCCAGTTGGCATATATATGTCTGGCACAGTTTCTGTGTTCAGCACTGGGAGCCCATTTCTGTACTGTATTGAGGATACCCTTCTGTTGATCAGATATGATAACCCACCCCTTCCCATCTCCCACTCCAACATCTCTGAACAAAATGTCACAAAACCAGTCACATGATTCATTGTTTTCCTTCTCTACTACTGCCCATGCTATGGGATACATCTGGCTATTGGCATCCCTTCCTATTGCACACAGAAGCTCCCCATTCGTTGCACCCTTAAAGAAGCAACCATCTAGACCTAACACTTTTCTACACCCTACTATGAATCCTTTTTTATATGCATCCAGGCAAATATACATTCTCTGGAATACTGGTGGTTCCAACTGAAGTTCTTTTTTAATAATGACTATGCTGCCAGGATTACTTCTCAACAATTCAAGCTGATATCTGTATAGAAGTTGGTACTGGCCTTTGGTTGCATCTAGTTCTTTCTGCATGACAATTGTCTTTGCTCTTTTCAGTTTTGAGATGCTTACCATAGCAAACATCTCCTCTTGAATTGTGGTTCTCATTCTTTCCAAACTCCATGTTGGGTTGGCCTTTATGAACTTCTCATACTTCTCTACAATCCTACTAGCAGTTACTAACTTGTTGTCCCTCCTTGAGGGGCATGTGTGCAAATTATTTAGACTAGCCACATGTCAGTTGTCTGTCCTTGAATTGGTTGACAACAAACATCTCCAGGTACATGTGGCCCAATCACATAGAGCTAACATCCTATGTGACTCATTCCTCCTAAACCTGATCACCCTCCTCTCTAGCAAACTTTACCTGATAACTGCTTTCTTGAACTGTTTTTTCCCAGTGAACTTCATACCAATCACAAACCTAGGACTAGGTACACTCTTGTTGAACCTTGGGTAATAGCTATGCTTGGTCTTTAAGTGTCCCTCACTTGCTTCCTCCTTTGACTCATCCTCTGCACTGTTGTTAGCATATGGGGTGTCATTTGCATCATCATCAAGCTCAAACTTGGTTGGCACAGAATTTGGCCTATCCAAGATGACATCATCCAGATTTGCTACTTGTCCACTCTTCATGCTCTTCTTGAATTCCTTGAACTTCTTTTGAATTTATACAACTTCTTCATCTTCCTCAGATGAATTGTCATTTCCCGGCAAAAACTCACTGTCACTGCTGTCCTCTAAAATCTCTTTGTCATTCAAAACACTTGAAACTGGCTGACTCCCTTGGTCATCAGCCACCTGCTTCCCCTTGTCCATCTTGTTAGGGCTGTACCACTCCCTTACAAATTTGATTTGTTTCTCTACATCTTCCCTACTTTCTTGCTTATTATGAGAAACCAAGACATCTTCACCTAGATCTGTCAGTTCCTCATATCCACCTTCAAACTCACTGTCATCATGTTCTTCTTGCTCACCTTCAATCTCATCTTCATAGTTGCTGTCCTCATCATCCTCTTCCTCTTCATCATCAACTGTATGTCCTTCAACATATATCTTTGCTACATCTCCTTCCTCAATGTTGTTTGCCATTTCAATGCAAGTCTGATCATCCATCAGAACACGTAGGCCATTAGAAAGCTGCCTTCCAGGACCAAGCCAGTGCAACAATGCTCCTTCTTCAACAGTGCAATGATCCTTAAGGTGCCCCATAACCTCAGGGAGCGAGACTTTATCACGGCCAATTTATGACACCCCCACTTCTCCTCCCAAGTAATACACATTATTTCCTCTTCTCAAGAATTCTCCTCCATAATGAAACCGAATAGGAAGAGTCTCCAGAGGGTCCATGGCGCATAAAATGTCCTACACTACATGCAACAGGAACCAAAAACTTTCAGACTATCACTCTGAATGGACAACATATAACCTAGTAACAATAGAAGTACACTGTACATTGCTGATCACAAAATATCACGCAAAATCACAAAAAATCTAAATATCAATTAGAGGCATTGCAAAATACAGACCAAACCAATTCCTATCAAGTTAACATATCATACACAATGACTTAGTGCTACGAGTTGCCAAAGCAGAATATGAACGAAGAATTCCTAAGAACGATGACCATACTTGTTGAGCAGCGACGCGCACTTGGCCCAGAAGAAGACGATGGCGACGAGGAGCAAGGCGTTGGACAGAAGGGGAAGCTGTAGCCCGCGCGCTCGAACACGAACCAGACCGCGGTGGCGCCCACCGCTGAGGCGTTCGTCGGCCTCCACAGCAGCAGGTCGGCGACTAGAACGGGTCCCCGCGCGAGGAATGTTAGGAGCTGTCGATCCGCACCCGCACCAACACCCTCCGCCGTCGCCGTCGCCGCCATCAGGAGTTAGGGTTCGGGGTGGGGGTTGGGGAACGAACGGAAGAGTGAGAGGAGAGAGCGCGAGTAAGTGGGCCACGAGAAAAGGAAGAAGGCCCAATACCACGGTCGTCGCGGGTTGACTGGGTGGAAACCACCGTCGCGCCGGCGCGAGGACCATTTCTATCTGGTTTACAGAGTTGATAGACTGCGGTTGTCTGGTTTTGGAGTTGGAGGGCTAAAATCAAACTGCTGCCATAGTTGGAGGGCCAAAAACGGACTTTTTCCTAGTTTTTAACAACATGGCATACCTCTTCCCTATAACCAGAGCACAATCTCGTAACCTGATTTCCACAGTCTGCATCGGACTTGGGAGACATTACTTCAGGGATTTCTGGAATCAACACTTCATCATCATGAATTACTTCAGAACAGCTCAGAACATTTGGTGTTTGTTTCTGCAGCAAGGGCATTTCAGTTTCCAGATGACAGGAGGTAACAAGCCTATCTCTCATTGGAAGGCAAAATCTTCTTGTTTTCACAATCTTCATCATGGCCGGGCAAGAAATCCATGGTTTCAGATTTTCCCAGGAGCAATATTTTATCACCATTAACCACTCTATGGCAGCTCCTAATGCTTTGTGTTTCTTTCTGTTGGAAGGATGCTCCAGTGCCCAAATAATCAGCAGCCACATGACTCTGAGTTTCATCACTCAATAAAGTTTTCCTAACTCCAAAACTCTGCTCAGCCAACGTCTCCATAGTTTTAGAACCTTCAAGAATCAATGATGAATCACATGTGACATCTTCACTGTATTCAAAGCAGCCTTGAAAGCTTTGCTGTTGTTCATCTTGCAGGAGCACCTTGGCATCAGGATAGGGTATAGCCAACTGAGTATGTGTGTCCTTAGATGACAAAGTGATGCTCTTCTCTTTAAAGTTTTCATCAGGTACTGCAAGCATAGCCATGGTTTTGGTGCCTTTAGGAATCAATGCAGTGTCACTTGGACACTCTTGATGGAAGGATGCTGTTGCTTGCTTCTTCTTCTTCCTTCCTTCTCCCTCCTCGCTGCAAACCACCTTAGCATGCTACTTACAATTCAACAAAGGGGTTCTCATTTCTTTATCATTGTCCTCATTGCAGTCAGGTACTCCAGCAAATACTGTGGACATATTTAATCCTTTGTCACAGGAGACTATCAATTTTGGACAACCTTGATGAACAAATGACTTTTTACAAGTGTTGTATCTGGCAGGTTGTTTGCTAGATACATCCCGTTTATTTCCATCCTCACATAGAAATGGACCCAGGCCTGTCTGAATTCCACTCTGCTTTCCCCCAGAAGACTTGGTGGATCTTCTCCAGACAAATGAACGATTAGATGCTGGAGCTCTGTTCAGCCTATCAGCTGAAGGCATATCCAGCATTTCATCGTTATGGCATGGAAATGGCCTGTTATGCTGTGTCTTCCGCTGTTTTTTCCTCTGGGAAAGGGCATTGCTAAACTCAGCACTCCTTGGTGGAAATGCTTTGGTCTTGAACCTTTTTCTTTCTATGGTTGTAGATTTCATTCTTTCTCAGTAACCGAGAAAACACACTTGTTCGCCCTTCACTGTCAGCACGGAGTTTGGAATCTAAGATGGGTGGATACCATTCATCTTCCTTCCTAATAAAAACTTGGTGGAAAGTAGTATGGTTTTCAGAGTCACTGCTACCCTTAGATTCAGAAGAGTGGCTCTCATCTTTTAGCAACGCAAATAGATCATCAACACCTTCAAAAGTATCTTCCTCCTGGGGAAGAGGTATATAGTCATCAGTAGATTGGTCATGCATTGCTTCTTGGTTGCCAGGTACGGTGACAGTGGCCATATCTGCTCCAGATTGCAGGGGAGATTTTGAGCTCTTAGACTTAGCCACATCAGAGATGTCTGATTGTATACCTCTGTGCACTAATGCCACGGGATCAATTAATTTTTCACCCGGCGATGCTGTATGCTCCCCAAGAGTGATGGAGGAATCCCGTTCAAAAAGAGTGGTGGAGGAACATGTTTGACAGGTGCTTCTGAATGAACCACATGAACTGCTGTTTGGGCTGGACTGCACATCAGTTACTTTAGCCAGAGAAGAAGTCTCAAGGTCCCCGGGGAGATCATCTTGTAATCTTGGATTCTGAGGAAGCTGCAACCTGTTCTGTGAAGAAAACAAATGGAGAAGCTTTGCAACCTGTATAACAGAAGCACCCTGAGGTCAGTAGATAAGCATATTGACAGAACACCAGAAAATTGTGGAGCAGACCTGTTGGTGTGACAAACCATAACTAAACTTGTTTTTAACAGAATAGTTCTGAACAGCATCTTGAAATTCACTAAGCATCAAAGGCTTGCAAAACCAAATCCTCTTGAAACGTATCTGGATTCAGTGAAACAGAACAGGAATAGGATTATTATGACATAATATCTCAGGAAGAGCAGTATGAGAATTATCGGGAATATTGTATCATGGGAGAGCTACAAAATTAGTTGGAAAAGGTAAAATATAGGGAAGCAGGTGTTTCAAGTGGGTTATCATAATTTATAACTCCTAGTAAATTTACATGGTAGCACTGGAGTAGATGACCTATAAGACAGTACTTAGTATTTAGTAAATCTCAAAAGTATTCATGCCTGAGAAGGATACCCCTTTCCTGATGTGACATATGCATCAGGAATAATGTTCACAGCCCCATCTGAAGTTGCTTCAAAAACACCATGAAGCTTGCACTGATCAACATCATATAAGAATAAAGTTGTGCCAGCTTTAACTTTCTCTACAAAATCAGCACAGAAACGAGGGAGGCCAAAAATTTTCTTGTCAAAGCACTCCTTCCTCGTCAGATGGTTGCACAGAAAAACTGCACCACCAAAGGTTGCACACTCTTTACTCTGTGCCTTCACCATTCCAAAATCCTCTGAATTCCTTGATAACATGAAGATGGACAATGAAAACGATAAGAAAATCAATAATTACACTAAAAACAAGAAGAATAACACATGCTTCTTTGGCTGCTGCAGATATTACAAGAAAGAATGGCGAGCAATATAATCAATATATAAAACAAGGTGTGATACAAAGCATATCATGTCCAAAGTTCTTTTTTCTTCCTCTGAGCAAGTGCCACAGGGAGGCACAACCTTAAATTTCATTGATGAAACAGTTTACAGTTTCTGACAAGGTTTTTCAGCAAGGGGTGATATGAACGTGCCTTAGAACGTTTTTCAATAAGAGGAGAAAGCAAGGAACAAGTTACACACTACCAATGGTAAGCCTACGCTAACCATGGAGCACCAACCACACATAACAAAGGTTTATATTTGACACAAATAATTGGCGATCACATGAAGCTAAACCACCCAACAAGAACTAAGAGATCCATAGAAGATGAGTGAGTGACTGCAATTGCTGTGTGCTGTTGTGAAATTCTCCAGGTTGAGACCAACAACACATAACTAGGGGCTCATGTTGGGTTTCAACTCTAGCCTACCCCCAACTTGTTTGGGACTAAAAGGCTTTGTTGTTGTTGTTGTTGTTGTTGTTGAGAGCAGCTGTGAGCTGTTGCACGAAGATCTGTATCTCGAGCTGTGAGCTGTTGCACGAAGATCTGTATCTCGAGAACTACCAAGTTCAAACAAGATAAAGGAACACAGTCGATCTGCCAATCAATGACTGGGTAGATCTGGTTTCCAATTTTACTTGCAACTTAGAACAGAAAAACTGCAAGGAAAACCTTTTTAAAGTTAAAACCCCCCACAGTCCACAGATGTGGACACAATTGCCCTTGTTTTTGCTGTTCCCTTCCATAGCCCCCCACACAAAGAGGAACAATTCAACTACATTCCAAGGAACCGCAATTCTTAGAAAAATGTACGAAACGAACTATTAATAGGGGCGGGTTTTTGCCGTGCTGCATGGGGGGTTGGTGGAATCACAAACATTTTCGCAAAGTAAACTTTACCCGCACCAAGAGTTCTCAGCCTTATGACACGAATCTAGACCGATCGATCCTGCGCGCGCTGATGAGGGAGAAGCGCCAATCAAACAGGACCAGACCCACGGATGGATGATCAGACCAGCACTCTACTACGCGGCAAACAAATCCACCACTAACTGATGGACTAAAGAAAGCTTCGGGTTTGGTTTCTCGGAGCAGCTAAAACAAACCGCAGAAAACGAGGAACTTCTCGCAAAATTCATCCGGAAGCACGGAGGCAAGGTAGGGTTCCTTACCACCTAGTACCAACGGAGGGAATCGATCAATGCTGCTTGCCGCGTCAGGATGGGCTCGCCGTCCCCGCGCCAACCCAGTATCAGCAGAGGGCGCGGGGGGAGGAGGACGTCGACAACTACTCCGAGCGCAAGGTAGCCCGAGGTGGCCGGCGTGGGGGCGGTTTCGTGCTTTCGGCGCGGCGGCGTAGTGGGTGCTGGGGCTGACGCGGAGAGGGCGATGGCGTGGCCGTTGTGCGTGAGCGAGTGCCTCGAGGTTGAGTGCTGGCTGCTGGGCCGTGGTTGTTACCCTGAAGTCCGGCCAATCAGAATATCAGAACACTTTCATTTTTTCAGAGTAAATATGGTGTTTGTAAATAGATCATGGGCATAGTAAAATACTAGAAGCATAGGTTGCTGCAGAAATTTATGAATAAATTAGAATAATATTAGACTAAATTACTTATTTGATGGAATAAACTATTATAAATTAATGGTAGTGGATGGCGTGGCGTACTAATGACGACAATTAAATGCATGTGATAGTGGACTGTTAAAGTGAATTGCTTGCATGTTGAGATAGAATGGCTAGTAGGGTTTAGGATTATAAGATGATATGGATATGGATATGGAATATAAGGAATATGGAATAAACTATTATAAATCAATGGTAGTGGATGACGTAGCGTACTAATGACTTACAATTAAATGTATGTGATAGTGGGCTGCTGAGTGGATTGCTTGCACGTCGAGATAGAATGACTAGTGGGGTTTATGATTATAAGATATATAGATATAAATATATATATAGATATAAAAATTATTAATAATAATATCAATCGGATGTCTTTTCTCAAAAAGTAGCAATTTGGAAATAAATACTATATTTTTGATGCATACAGTGGGATATTTTGTTGAGAGTATATGAATAAGGAAATGAAAGGCTTTGTTGTTGTTGTTGTTGTTGTTGTTGTTGTTGTTGAATAAGGAAATGACTGTGGCACATGTGTCTGTAAAATCTTGGAACTGGATGGCATTCTTATGTCTTGGTTTTAGTTGTTCTACCACTTATGCTATATGCCCATATGTCAATATGTGTCAAACTGTCTTGGACCAAATTCTAATTTTGACGGCAGAGATTATCTTGCATGGAGGCAGCATGAAGCTGTAGAGGCTGTTTGGTTGTGTCATAAATCCCAAGCGTCCTCGATTGCCCGGGATCAAGATCGTTGCCTGGTCGGCGAGCTGCCAAGGCACGATACAAGTTGGTCCGTACATGAACATCTGAAGGACAAAGCCTTCACATCTGAGCGTAACAAGCTCGCCATGGATCATTTTATCCATATCTGAACATTAACACGAGAACAATGGCAGTAAATCAACAATCAATTTCACTGAAAAGGATATTCCCGGACAGTCTCCAAGTAATGGAGATAGTAATCTTATCAACAAAGTGCCCACAGAATCTCAGCCAAACATAAGTCAGAAGCATATTAAGATCGCCTTACAGAATCATAGCTCAGAACACTGAATTCAGGTCTCAATGTAACCAACTGAAAGATAACAATGCGATGATTGAAACAGCCTATTTACAACAGCTCAGGTACTGCGAGACAAAAGCATAATGGAACCATCCTAAGCTATGCTAATCGTGGAGTTATCAACAGAAATTCCACCAAGGCCAAAAAGCAATTCTACCAGAAATTCCACCGAGGCAAAAAGCGTTAGTGCTACGTGCTGTCATCATCAGCTCCTATCTTGCTACCTGGACTAAAATGTGATCTTCTGCCTCCATTCCTCATCAGAAAGAAGTGTGCATGCATGATCGAGTCACCTGTGAACTGTTATTTCTGGAGCGCCACTGGGCATGCTGATTCCTATATCGCTCTGCAAATGAAGGTCTCGTTAGCTTACTCCTCTTTGCTGAAGCATCTCTCTCACTCTGAATATCTCGGGCCGAAAAGCCAATGTGTTCCTTCCTTTCTTTCAAAACTGCTTCTCTGTTCTGTTGTATTCCAGCAAGTGTAGGGATGCATGATGATTTATCAGAAGTAACAGAAATCCCATTGCCACCAAAGCTAAATGATACCTTTTTTGCCAAACTGCAAGCTCTCGTTGGGGGTAAGACATCTGAGAGTTCAAGTTGAATGATTCCCTTTTGTTTGCACCCCTTGGCCTGCAACTCTGATTCGCTCCCTTTCATAATGTGCAGAGTTACATTGTTCTGACCAGTTTCACTTTCAGAAACGAACCTTTGGTTCAGCACAGGTGAACAACACCTATCGTCCTCAGTGTGTTTTCCATTAAATGGTTTGGGAACTTGATCTTCACAGCTGATGTTATTCTCCATTGTTGAATGGAAGCTTACAGTCCCCATCAAAGCTGACTGATTTCCATCACTATCAGAGTTGCAATCATCTAGCTCAAGCGGTATATAATCAGCATCGTCTGGCTTGTTTTTTTCTATGATATCTGGTGACTTGAAGACCACAGGCTTAGGGCAAGGGTGTAGAGGGGACTCATGTTTGTGAGCAGGATGCTGGCCATTGTGTTTGGCATGCATGAATGGAATGTGTGGTAAAGAGATTCTGTTGTTGCAGAACATAGAAGGCGGACGACTAAAACCATTGCTATGAGTGTATAACCTGAATTCTCGACCAGTACGAGCCAGAGAGATTTTGTAGTCCCATAAAACTTTTGATTTTGGTTTTTGGTAGGGTTGAAGCCTGATCATTCTTGAAGAAAATAAGTCCACAAGATTCAGAACCTGTACATGACAAAATCCTAAGGTCAGTAGCAAGTAATTTCTAATTAACGGCAATAGCTGAATTACATCACACATAAGAAACAGCGAACCTGTTGGTATGATATACCAAAGAAGGACCTTTGAGGCTGGAGACAATGTCCTTTAATGGCATCAGAAAATTCAGCTTCAGTTAGGGGCTTACAAAACCAAACTCTTCTGAAAAGAACCTGAATTTCAGAGACCAGGTATGCAAAATAAAAGAAACCTTTATCAGAATGTTCACACATGATAAACCAAAACAAAGCAACAACTAAGTCAATGATTCACAAAAAAAAAAAAAAGATTCATAGAAAGGTAACATGAAGCAATGAATAATTGAGCCTGCCAAAGAACATGAAGCACTAGACTGGTAAAACCATGAGAAAAAAGCCAAAAGCAAAAGCATAATTACCTGAGCTGGTCGAAGCTTGCACAATGAAGCACATGCATCAGGAAGAATGTTCAGTGCTCCATCTGAAGTTGCCTCAAACACTCCATAGAGTTTTCTCTCCTCATGCTCAAACAGAAAGAGAAGCATACCAGCTCTGATCTTCTTTATAAAAGTTGCAGCATAACCAGGTAGGGCAAAATGTTTCTGTTCGAAGAATTGCCGCTTAATCTCATGATTGCAGATGATAACTGCACCACCATATACTCCAGGATTGTTAGAGATGTCTGATTTTTGGTGCCGCTGATTCCTTCAAAATGAAAGAAAAGACAATAACAGTACATAAACACAGCATTCAAAGATGAAATACAAGTCCCCATGCTAATAATGGTGGCATTGTATACTACAGGCTCGTTAAAGGTGTTTCATTTTTGCATTGCAGATTCCATTAAAATGGTAGAAAAGATAGTAATATGCAAAGAAGACATTCGGTAGCTAACTTCTGAAGATTTGGCAGCGACTGAACTCATAGTAAGTCTTGACATTTTCAATCATGCTAACAATGATCAAGATCTACACGTACACCAACAATGACAGAATTATAACAAGATAAAAGCACAACATTACTACGGACACCAAAAATTGGTTAGCCTTCTCCATTGCAAAAAACAGTTCGACGCAGCCTCTCTGCAAATGCAGCGGTAATGTTTGCTCGGTTATTCCTTCCCCAAACCCCACTCATGAGGGAGCTGCCAGCACTGGGTCTGTCCTTTTTTTTCCTCCATTGCAAGAAACAGTTCAATAATGCTAATAGAACAAGCATAGATCAAATAATAAAAGCTTCCAAAATTCCAAAACCATGGATGTTCAAAGAAAGCAATCATGAACACTGAACAGCTACTATAACTCTGGGGGAACAATGGGCAATCTGCTATGTAGTATTTCTTGTAGAGCTGGAACCAAACATGCATCATTCTGAATTTGTAATAACAACAGCAAAATCATCCATATAACAGGAACACGGATTGAACCCTCAAGGCCCCTGAACCAGGTGTTATCCTCTCTTCCATAATTGTACCAAGAAACTTAAGTATAAAAAACCACACATGCATCTGAAACAAGTATGTGTTGTTAGAATTTGCAACAAAGCATTGGCACCCTACAGGCAACATCTCATGCCCATGGCACAGGTACCAAAAAAGAATTAACAGCCCACCGCTGCACTATATAGTGAAGATCGCCCTAAACCCCACCACATTCACATCCAGGTAGCAAGAACTAAGAAGCAATTAAACAAGGTGAAATGCCAACAATTTTTCCCCAGCAAGAACAGGCAAGAAATGCATCACCAGTAAAGAATCGCACACCAAGCACAACTACACGTATCACCAAGAACCCTAACCAAGCATGCCCAAGACCGTGTTAGATGCAAGGACCGAGGAGAAGGCAGGGAGGAGGCATTTACACGGCGCCGTACCAAGGGTGGCGCTGAAACTGAAACCCTCCTCTCCCGCCTCCCCTCCCGCTCCAGCCTCCGCCTCTCGGCCTCCAGAACGGGCGGTGCCCCGCCTCGAACGGCTGCCTCTGGTGCCCCTGCATCTGCATCCTCCAGTTCCGATCGATCGCTCCGCCCTCCTCCCACTTGTACACGTCTCCCCCGCCCCCGTCCGCCACCTCCTCCTCCGCTTCCGCGCCTCCCCTCCAGACCTTACCCTCCCCACTGGTTTCCTTCTCCACCTCCATCTTCTCGGTGCGCCTCGCCGCCTCCCGCTCCTTCCGCCGCCATTCCTCCGCCGCCGAATCCATCTCCATCGCCGTCTCCCTCCCTCGGTGCGTGCGCGTTCGCGCGTGTTAAAGCAAAGCGAGCCGCTTTGCGGAGTGGTGGTTTAGGGGAGAGTGCGCGTGTCTTTGAGAAGAAAAAATGGAATAGTTAATCAATTGGGCCCGACTAAACGATAGCGAAGTTGCGATCACGGCCCAAACTCCATACTGGGCTACAGCTACAAGCATCTTCCTTTTTCTAGACCCAGTTTCCTATCGGGACCTAATTTTTTCTTAATCATTTATTAGACCCTTCTTGTCCACTGATAAAATTGACCCTTTCAATTGAGTGTCCAAAATTTGTAATAACTGATAAGAATGCTAGCTTCAACTGAAACGCTCTATTTATACGCGCATAAACAACATAAATTTAACCCATTTATCAGCTAAAAAAACATCATTCTTATTCTTATACCCCTATTGGAACGTAGGAATTTCACAAAATCATGTAGAAATGGAATGATCTACTGAGTGGGTGCTACTCATCCATCCAACCTCAAATTACATCAGCTACTCATCCAGTCGTGCTACCCCATGTAAATGGAAGATCCACTGATCGAAAAGAATGTTGTTGGCAGAATTAACATTTCCTTTTGCTGCTGAGTACAGAAGTACTATTCACCACTCTGTTTGCGTAACATTTACAGGTATGGAGAATTACAGACGATGACAAGACCATGGAAGGTTCTGTTTAAGCTCTAGATACACAGATCACTTTGTAGCTGAAGTAGCCAGCCATCAATAACATCCAACTCATCGCATATGGTGCCTGAAAGAACAGACTGAAGTTCAGCAAATCAAGTAATTTTCGAAATGGAATGAATCATCCAAGCTGAAGCAAGATGCTCTCACCTCAGTGTTTCTTTTGTTCCACGACGAACTTTGCAGCGAATGGTCGGGAGACCAAGGCGCTGGTGAGCCTCATAGCGGTGGCATCCAGAGAAGCCTGAAGATCACACAGGAGAATATTCAGCGCAGCGAAAATGGATCTAGACCTCCAAATAGTGAGATCATGAATGACAAATTGGTTCTGGAATCTTGGACTACACACCATAGTAGATCCCATCGACCTCCAGCACATCAATCTGCAGTAGTCAAGAAACTGAGCCAAGTAAGAATCATAGCAGCCAGAAAGTCCAGCAATGTGCTCCATAATGTTGCTCAGCTGGAGGAAACAGATGTCTACAGATCCTAGCAAAGCTCAATCTAATTAAATTGGTGTTTTTCTACTCTTTGTGAGTTTATAAGAGTTTACCATGACTAATGCATAGATTTTTTTTCATCATTAATAATGCATTTTTTTCATTATGTGTCCCAATTTCCAGATAACTGAGATGAAAAATAAATGTGCACAGCTCTTATTGGATTGTGAGGAACAAATGGTCATACTTATCTCATGTTGTACCTATAGTTCTAAACGATAATAAACAGCATTTTTGAAAAAAAAAAGTACGTCCACACATATTTAAGAGATCTGACAACTTTGGCATAATGTCATATCATGGAGGGAGTACATATTACTCCCTCCGTTCTAAATTATAAGTCGGCTTTGACTTTTTTGGTTCATTCATTTTGCTATGTATCTAGACATATTATTATATCTAGATGCATAGCAAAATAGATGTACCAAAAAAGTCAAAGCGACTTATAATTTGGGACAGAGGGAGTAAGTATTAACACGAACTTCAATGAAACATTGAGCAAATAAAAAATCTGCTTTGCTTGTGAAAAAACATATTTGTTGCAATTCAATGGATTCAGTAATGTGAAACATATATATGCATTGCCTCAGAATTTAATCACAAGTTGATTCATATGTGCTATTCCTAAGAAGAGTGCTCGAATCTGATAGAAATCCCATCTACGTAGATCAGGACTGACCAATAATTGTACTCATGGATGAAGAAATATAAAAGGAAAAGATACAGATATAGATAGATACCCACAGGTACTTGGAGGCCGATGACACGGATACTGTCCATGAGTTCTTGCACCTTGACTGGATCATTGGCACGCGTTCGCATCAGTGGCCTCCGGATTTGGTCCAGTGGAATTTCCATTATCACTGGGCCCTTCTTCTCTGAGTCAGTTGTCAGGGATGGCACAGCTGCACCTGCATAGTGAAAATTTAGACCCGCTTATACATTCAGCACCATGGACTCCACTGGTAATCATTTCCCACTTCCCACAAAAGAAAAGAAGCCGATTTGGAGATTTACACACCACAGGGAGACATATGTTAGCATGCTGAAACAGTTGGTGTGCCAACATATGTCGCGTGTCCAGGGAAATTAAGAAGTGAAATTAGTATCTCTATATCAGGAGACATGTGTTCTGCAAAAAACTCATTCTCTGACGTTTTTTTTCTTAATTTCTTTGTAGCTACTTCTGTATCAGGTAGTGTGGATTTGCTGAAAAAACTAAAATGGACTTCCAATGAGTTTGAAGCGAACTATGGAATCAAGAACCCACAATTCATTTTCTTGAATGAATCAACACACATGGGCACGCCTGCGCAGTGCACACCCTAGAGACTACAGAAAGGAAGGATACAGTGTTTGACCAAGATTAAATTCTCTACATCAATTCTTCAGCTCAAGATATACCAACTTCGTGGACTGAACTCAAGCACATACACTGATACACTCCACTAATTCAAAAAATAGAACCTATTTCAGTACAAGAAGGGATCGAACAAAGGGGATCATGCGGGTACCGTTAGAGAAGGAAGCGGAGAGCGCCAGATTCCTGCTCCTCCCGCTCGCGCTCCTTCCCCTTCCTCGAGCGAAGGAGGCGTATGGGACCGCGCTGCGGGGGAGGAGGACGCCGGGGCCCATCGCCAAATCCATGGTCGAACTCGACGCCATTGCTGCAGTGCTGCTGCCCGGTTTGTTGCCGGCCCCCCCGCCGAGAGGCCGTAGCGTGTCGGAGTGTCGCGTCGATGTGTACCACAAGAGTTCCCTGGGCTAGATGTTAGGACTGGTTTAGTTACAAAAAAATTTCAAAAAAAATATCACATCGAATCTTATGGTATATATATGGAGTATTAAATATAGACGAAAAAAAACTAATTACACAGTTTTGATTAAAAATTACAAGACGAATGTTTTAAGACTAATTAGTTCATGATTATCCATAAGTGCTACAGTGACTAACATGCGCCAATGATGGATTAGTTAGGCTTAATAAATTCGTCTCGTAGTTTTCAGATGAGCTATGTAATTAATCTTTTTTATTAGTATCCGAAAACTTCTTCCAACATTCCAAAATATTCTATGTGACATCCAAAAATTTTCATTTTGCAAACTAAACACAGCTTTAGAGGGCCGATAAGACAAGAAAAGGCTCATTCGAGGGTCACGTCGTCTTTAGTCTGATCTGTCGAATGTGGGTATCGAAGAATGGCGACTGTAACGATTGCATTTTCACTTTCATCAGGACATAAACGTGCATGTACGTGTCAGTTTCGATCTGCCATTTTGGACTCTGTAATTCCTTCTAGGGCCGTTTGGATCCTTTTTATTAGAGGGAATTAGAATCGGCTAGGCTATTTGATTTAAAATTTGATATTTCATAAATTTCTAAAGTTCACATGTAAGTCTATTTCAAATTTGTAGGGTGAAAGATAAAATTTAATTCTATAGATCACTATGTTATGTTTTTACTTTTGATAATGATATATAGCGGGCGTCTGTTCCGTTCAGACGGACCCACCGCACACGGAACGACTCAATGCCCTCATCCGCTCTCGCTCCGCGCTCCCTCATCCTCATCCCCACTCTACTGCTCGATCCCCCATCCCCACACCTCGGCTCACAACTGCGACGCGCTCGACAGACGCCGCGTTCGCCCCGCCCGCCCGTCGGTGCTTCCTCCCTGCCTCCCTCCCTTCCTCCCCTCCTCTCCCCCCTCCGCGGCCTCCATTGCTACCCCGCGCTCCCTAGTGACCCGATTCCTGCTCCCTCCACCGGACGATGGCGGCGGCTCTGACAAGGTATGTTAGTCCTTCTCTAGATCTGAGCCCTCCTCCTCCTCTTGATCTAAGGGACGCGGCGGTGGCTAGGGTTTTGGTGAGCCTTGGGTCCTATTCCCTCCTCCCTTCGACATACTAGAAGGTGATGGGGCCAGGGGCTGGAGCAGCCTGCACCTCGAACCCATCCCTTTCGTTGTTTGTACGTTTTTGTTGTTTTTCTCCTGTGTTGCAATGAGTTTTTTTGGAATGTTGCAATAGATGATTTTCAAATGTTGCAATGGAATTTTTGGGTTGTTGCAACAGATGTTTTTCGAGTGTTCCCATTTCCATGTTTCATGGTTGATTTTGCGGTGTTGCAGTACTACTGCTTGAAATGTTGCAGTACATAATTTTCGATGTTGCAGTATATATTTTTTCGATGTTGCAGTACATGTTTATCAATGTCGCACTACATATTTTTTCGATGTTGCAGTATATAATTTTTTATGTTACAGTACATATTTTTTTTGATGTTGTAGTACATGTTTTTCAATGTTGCACTACGTATTTTTGCGATATTGCAGTATTTATATCTCATTGTTACACTACATAGTTTTCTATATGTTTTGCAATGTTGCACTTGAAGTGTTTCGTGCTCTTTTGAGATAAGGGCGTAGTGGGGAGCGGAGGACAGGGACGGGTTCCGTTCTATAAAGGGGGCGAGCGGTTCCGTTCTATTCGGCGCGGGAGACGATCAAGTTTCAGAAGGGGAGCGGCGTCCGAACGCACTTGCGCGCCGTTCGTCCAGGCACTAGAATCGCCGTTTTACATTGCAACTTATAACACTCTCTTCAACTTGCTCCTATACAATGAAAATGCAACACATAAGTATCTATCTTATATGACCTATAGTAATATACAAATATATTCCATATACAATCATATTAGCTTAATTAATCTATCTAAATTATGACTATTAAAATAAATTTAATTCCAAGCATCCAAACGCCCCCGGAGAAATGCATGCAAGTAGCCAATCTACAAGACTACAACAGCTCTTCAAAATAACAGGGAAAAATGTTCACCCGCTGCTCAAATATTCAAGTATATTTTGTACATCTTCAACTAAAAAAACATAGGAGCTGGCTTTTCGCTTGGACAAGTTTCTCGTGATCATGCGTGCAACATAATCAGGGTCATCAGTGAAATATTTTCGACCTCTGTGGCGCGATGCCAGTTCAAAATTCCTGAGGGAGCAGGGGTCGCCTGTTACCTTTTCAGCATTAACCCTCTTTCCACACATTATCATCTTCAACATCGCCAGATTCGTGGGCCTCCGCATTCAAATCTGCCAATTTGCATGTTTCGGTTGCATTCCCTACACATTTTTAAACAGATTAGGCAGAATAGTGGATGCAAAATCTACATGGGTATATTAACTGCACAAGTGGAGGTTCAAACATTACACATAACTGAAACAGATGATGAAATTAAAATTGGAATTTGAAGTAGGGGCAGAAACACCAAATTTCCAAATTAAAAAAAATCATCACCAGAGGTTAAAGTAGACGGAAAATAATCACAACGCAGACCCAAGGTAGTCTCTGTCAAGGTCTGGTATCATACAGCCTGTTCGCTTGCTCGTAAACGATCGTAAATTTCCAGCCGGGAATAGTCTTTTTCTCTCACACCAAACCAGCCAGCAGTAAATAATACACGATACGATACGGCCTCCCGAACAGGCTGATAATTAGGGTAGCTGATAATCAGACATCGACATCCTTCATAAAACTGTTATAGCTACTCCCTCCTTCCATGAATGATGAACATATTTTGATCAGCAAAAGGCATACAAAATATATTTTGACCCTTAATTTCTTACAATATGTTGCCATTTGCTGAAGTATCAATATCATCTTAAAGGCACTTTAAATACAAATGTATTGATACAAGTTTTATGTCCTAAACTTTTATATAATTTGAATAATTGTTGGTCACAGTTTGTAAATTTTGACTTTTCCCTATACAAAATGCTTGTCATTCAGGAATGGAAGAAGTAAAAGGTAGTGGATGTTTGATTTTCATTTTTGCTCCCTTCCCCTCTCCTTCAAACGGATGCGCATCTGACTGGATTGGGAGGAGGGAGGACCGGAGGAGGCTGCCCGGCAATGGATCCGGAGGCGCAGCTCCCTCCCTCAGGCGGCGCGGCTCTGGATCTGGTGGCACGGCGACTATTCTCCGCTTATCCCCCTAGACGAGGCGTTACCCCTCCGCCCAGCGCTGAAGCGCGCCTGGGCGAGCGCCTAGTACCGCCTTTTTGAACATTGGTTGAAAGGGATTTGAAAGATAAGCACCTCATCCAACTGTTAGTGTACATCCTCCTTCTCCGCTTCTTGCTGTTAGCTCTCGTTATTCTTGCTTTCTAGCTCTATTTTGGCCGCTCTTTGCTTGCCTTAAAACTTGAATACGGAGTTTTGGACACTTCAGAAATCAAACCTCGCCAGTAAGTGATCAAGTGACTATACATTCTATCTTAAAATTTGGTTCATATAGCCTTTATACTACATGCTATATAGTATATCGGTCCTGGTACATAGAGGACGACTAGGCTCGACTAATCGAGCTTATCAACAACTAGTCACCTTATCGGTGCCATGGCGACAGGGTTTGATTAGATGATTTGAAAACACAGATACATATCTTCCGAGTATCTGTTTTTTTAATTAATTTTGCGAATATTGAGTATGTCAGCTGAAACGTATCTGCAATGTTTTATTGTTACCAGTTTTAATATGTGTTATTATCTTTATATTTTAAAAGGGTAAAAAGTATCCAGATTTTTTGGGAAACTGCCGCATACATGCTACATAGCAGAAAACAAATCAAGCATCCAAAAGATATAGCATGAGTGCGATGTCACTGGACCAGCAGGTGAGGTGCGTTGATGGCATATGAAGGTAAGGTGCTCGTGCAAACTTGAAGACTAGCAGCAAATTATTGAGAAGACAGACGGTTCAACAGAAATAGTTCGCATCTGGTACCTGGTGACCGCGTCCAGGATGACGACGGCCATGCCACGGTTGTCGAAGTCTTGGGCCGGCTGTCGCCCTTCATGGAGACGTCGTCGTAGAAGGCGCGGGCCGCCAGCCTCACCAGCTTGCAAGAAAACCAACCCACCCGATCCCACGCGGAGGTTAGCAACGGCTGCAGCTAGGGTTTCGAAAATGGAGTAGGATGGGGGCTCACCGGTTGAAGGGCTCGATGGAGCTCATGGTGGCGAAGACGACACCGGCGCGCCGGCGTGCGGGTGATCGGGGTTCTGATTGCCCGCTTAAGGCATAGGGGGGCGGGAGGAGGGGTGCCGGATCGCGCCGACCGCAGCCCACACCGGTCGGATCGGAGGGGAAAGGGCGAGCGAGAGATATGGCCCTGTTTGGGACAGCTTATTTCAACCCCGCTTTGAATCAAAGCTAGATTCATCTCACAATTGGCTTATGCAAGAATCCAATGGCAAAAGTCGCACCGTTTGGGGGATTCGCGGCCACGGCTTCGTCTTCTTTGCCGGGGTGACGCGCTGCTCGAATCGTTCCGTCTCCTCCGGCGAGTCCCGGGTGGGTACAACCACCAGCGCAGGGATGAAGACGGCCGGCGGAGCGAGGAAGGGGAGCTCCACGGCGGCGCGAGGAGGAAGACGCCGCCGGCACGAGGAAGCGGAGCTCCGCGGCGGCGCAGAGACGAAGACGACCGCCGGAACAAGGGGGGAGCCGACTTCAACGTGGAGGACAGCAACGACAATCAACAAGGCGGAGGCGGGGGCGGGGGCGGAGGACAGGACGATGACGAGGGAGATTTCAGGGCTGTTTGTTAGTATTTGAGAATCACTTTGAATAAGCAGAGTAAGAATCAGCTCTAGAG